CTCCTAGCTCTAAGGAGTCGTAACCTCGATTTAGAAGAGCGAAACGCGAAGCTGGAAAAGGGTTAACCCGAAGGGAATCCGAAGAAGGCGTCTACAAAATCCTCGAAAGCTGTCGCCAGCGACAGCTGTCGACAGAGTACCAACAGGACAGCGAGCGCGGTCAAATCCGCAACTGCTATCCCCTGCTAACCGAAGAGCCCCGGCTAGGAACCGTGCGAATTCCCGAAAACGGGGAGCTCGTTTGCTGTCCTGGCGGACCTGATCAGATCATTGGGACCTTGCAGCTCTCCGGGAGTAGATCAGAGGGAGTAGACCCTCAGAGCGGGCGGTAGGCGGTCGGAGGACTGACCTGGTGCCGACTCTACCGCCGCCGCCTTCCCGCCACGAAGAGGACACTAACGGACGCAGACCCGTTTCAACATAAAACAGAAGGGAAGAAAAACGAATATAAGAACGGCCCGGCGACTTCAGCGGAAAAGAATCGAACATCCCAATAAAGGAACTGCCCATGGAAAATTATCTCCTTGACCTGCGGCCTGGACCACGGTGGTCGGCAAAAAGGAGGAATAAATAGAAAAAGAAGAGGAAGAGTCTCGGTTTCAACAGCAGCAACGAGCTGCTAAAAAGAAAAAAAAAGGAGAAACCGCATTCAGTTAGAGTCCCCAGTAGGGCGGCGGTCACCTTGACTGAAAGCAGCTCCGGAAAGCAAGAAATGCTACGCAGAAGACACGGGCACAGCTAAAAACGACGGGCGAGTCGCCTATGCGATCTGTTCGCAGACAACAGTGAAGTTAGTGTAGCACGGCCAGTGAAGATGGCAGACGTCCGATTCAGTGGATTAGATGAATCAGTCAATTCGGCCGAGATAGCTTCGGCGGTCGCCACCGCGGGTGTTTACGACGTAGCTGACGTTAAGTCAGGTGAGTTTCGCCATCGCTCTCCGACGAGAATGTGGACCATCTGGCTAAGATATCCTGCCGCCTCGGTAAAAAATATCGTCGTAACAGGCAGAATCCTAGTTGGCTTGGTGTCAGCACATGTCGATTCGCTGATCGCTCGCCCCCTGAAGTGCTACCGTTGCTTGGAGTTCGTGTACGCCCGACCCTGACAGGAGCGTCCGCTGCTACACCTGTAGAACAGTGAGCCACAATGCGAGAGGTTGTACCGCTCCAATTAGATGCACACTCTGCGCCGATCTAGGCAGACCAGCTGATCATCTTCTGGGCAGCAAGGCTTTCTGCTCACTCATCAAGGAAGAGAAACGAAGGGACGCAATGGCAACGGGAGAAAGGAGAAGGACGCCTCCGGTCACGGTAGCGACTGCAATGTAGGTCGTCGCGTCAGACAAAGATCATCTGAGTAACTGTAAACTGAAGGGCGGCCAAGTGCGACCCGAATCAAAGAAGGAAGCGGCCGCGAAGAGTCCATGGACACTACGCAGTGATGGACCTCGCGAGCCACATACTGCAACCTAATTTGAATCACTCGTCCAGAGCACAAGACTTATTTATACAGACCGTGGAATATCGGGTTGGCAATCCGGCTTTGGCAAGATAGGGGAACCGGGAAACCGTGTTGCCATATTTGGAGGAGAGAAAGCCGGTTTCCTAAATCGGCTTGCGTTTCTAGAGCTCGGAGATGATCTCGTAGCTGCGGCATGGGGCAGCATGTTGATGGTAGCGTTCTATGCCCCGTTTAGCTGGCCCCTCTCACGGTTCGAGGCACTCATGGATGAGGTACGCGACGTGGTATCTCGGTACTATACTCGACAGACGCTGGTCCTTGGAGGCTTCAATGCGTAGTCCACAGCCTGGGGCTGCCCTGCTACTAGGTGCAGGTTGGTCGCCGAGTGTGCGGCGGGCTTGGACATGCGTCTGTTAAACAGAGGATATGCAAGCACCCGTGTTCGATGGCGAGGTGAGTCAATTTTGATTTATCTTGAGCCTCCCTCGGTGGCCTGCCGCATTACGGGCCAGAGGGTGATGAAGGCCACCGAGACGCTCAGCCATCACCGCTATATCTTCACGCGCGTTCTACCAAGCGGAATGCGCCGGGAAAAAGAGGATGGGAGATAAAGGATATGAACATGTACATACTGGGGGCTGCTGCCATCGTGGACTTCTGGCCTTCCGGGGACGCCAAGGGAACATGCCATGTACGTCGACCTGGAAGCGAAACATTTTCAACAAAAGATGGATGCAGTCTTTGATGCAGCCATGTCTCGCGTCCGGATCATCGGTCGAACCACCGTGTACTGGTAGTCGTTACAGATCGTGGAGATGTGAGCTACGTGCTGGCGCAGACGTCCTCGGTATATGAGGGAGGGTAGATAAAAAGTCCAAGACGAGGCAAGAGAGGAGGACCATTATGTAATCTATAGAGAGGCCGTAAACTTCTTCAAGAGGATAATCAACAAAACCCAGGCGCGAAGCTAGGATAATCTCCTAGACACGCAAGACCGGGAACCTTGGGGTCCATGCCGAGTTGTTCTGGGCAAGATCCGACTGAGAACCCCGCCCGTCACGGAATCGATCGGCCCGGAGACTTTGGAGTGAATCCTAACGACGTTCTTTCCAGAGAGTAAAGAGGAGTATGTGCGGTAACTGCCGAGAGGGAAGGCCGCGAAATTGAATATCCTTCTATTTCGGAAGAGGAATTGGCGGAGGCGATAAAAAAATGGAAGGACGAAGTACCGCGCCCGGGCCTGACGGGGTCCCTGGTCGTGTGCTTTCCCTGGCGCTTAGTGCGCTTGGCCCCGGTCTCAGGTGTCTGGATGACTGGAGACTGGAGGCAGGAATAATCGGGCAAGTGAATGAACGCAGAACTCGTTCTGATACCAAACCGGATCGGGGTACGCCTGCAGCGTAAAGATATGCCTTCACGACGAGGTACGCCTGCAGCGTTAAGATATGCCTTCACGACGAGGTCGGTAGAATCTTCAAGAGGATAGTGGCCAATCGGATTTTTAGTCACATGTCACTAGGTCCCAGTATTTGCGATAGCAAATACAGTTTTCGTATAGGTTGCACGATTGACGCCATGGAGCGCGTCAGGTCTGTGACGAAAAGTGTCATTCACTAGGGGGGAGTGATGTTGGCGGTATCTATCGATATCGTGAAATCGTTTAACTCCTTCTCCTGGGATAGAATTAGCCCCGCCTCTTAATGGAGTCCCTCACTATATACGAAAGATAGTAGGTGACTATCTTAGTTGGCGAAACATCGAGTTGTCCTCGGATGGGGGCACAGTTACGTGTCGGAAAGTTAGCCGCGGGGTTCCGCAGGAGGCGGTCTTGGGCATTCCTGTAGAACATTGGCTTTAATTACGTTATAAAAGCAGCGCTTCCTCCTGGCATGCAGATGATCTGCTCCGCGGATGACACCTTGCTTGCGGATCCTCAGGATTCCCGAAGCCGTAGTCGCAGCGGTCACGACATGGACCCGCCAACTAGAACTGGAGATTTCTGTGGAAAATATTCAGGCGAATTGGCTCCACGGCCTTCCCCAGTCAAGGAGACAGTCCCAGATGTGGCTTATGGAAAGCGGATACATATCCAAGAGACCAAGTAAGTCGCGCTCGTGCTGGACGACCGGGTGATCTTCGAGGAGCATTTCACACGACTCGCGCCTAGGATAGAGCGGGTTACCATCTTCCTTGGCCGAATCCTACCGAACATCTGGGGGGTCCGAATTTAGAATCCGCCACTTCTATGCAGGAGTGGTCATGTCCATGACTCTGCACGGAGCCTCAATCTGGTATAAGGGCTTAAAGAGGAAAGGCAGAGAGATACTGTCCCAGATACAGCACGTCATGACCATTAAAGCTGTACGTGCGTATCGATCGGTATCTCTTCAGGCGGCCGTGGCTCTTGCTAGAATGATTCCACTCGACCTTCAGGCCGCGGTAGAAGCCAATGTCTACCGCCGTGTGCGGAAACTGAAACCTGGCGGCAATCCGAAACTGGAAAAAGAAATAGCAATTTGCAAAAGACAGCTCAAGACTGAGTTCTGCAGAAATGGAAAGCAGAGCTGGAGAAATCGGGAGCCGGAAGCAAACGGATGACTAGCGCGACCTTCCCAGACTGGGATCAGTGGCAGTACTGCACGTGGCGGCCCGGGCTGACATATCCCGTAATATACGTACTCACTGGACATTGATGCTTCAGTGAGTTCCTGCATCGGATGGAGCGGAGCACTCAACTGCGTGCTTCATATGCGGAGCCAAGAAGGACTGTGCCCAACACACAATAGAAGATTGCCCTACGTTCAGAGAACGAAAGACCGAACTCAGGACAGTCATAGGAGAAAACCTCTCACAGGCGGCATTGGTGCGAGCTTTGGTCGCGCGACAGATACAGCAGAAAGCGGTCTGTGAGCTCGTGATGACCTGCAAGGAAGACAATGAAAGGATTCGGGTTTTGCCGAATCCGGCCAGAAGAGGAACACGGCGCCGAGAGGCGAATGTAAGTCGCATCAAGGCACCCAATGGTCTCAGGGCGCCATAAAAAAAGAAAGAAGAATGAAGACGGGAGGTCGCAGGCTGATGCGGTTCAGACCTTATACGACCACCCCGTCGGAGGTGTCGGTGAGGGCCGTTTCCTTAGAGCAAACAATCCCAAAGGGGCTCGACACTGGGAATGGTCCTCGGAGTCGCTGCTTTGATCGCTGCTTTAATGGGATGTGCGAGATTATCTGGAAATTCCAGACGTCCTCCACCCCACCGCCCAAACGCGAGATAGGCCATCGTATGAACTTTTAGTCTGTAAAAATCCGGCAAACCTGACACATCCTTCAATGGATTAGGTGTCTTTTGAAGATTTCCTCCACGTAAAAAAAAGCCTGTGTTCGCGCGTCCAACCTGTTTCTGAAAATGCAATTTGAAAATCGACATTGAAAGTGATACAAATGGAACATGCCACCTGTTTCTGTAATTACTCTTTGATTTTTCGAATTTAGTATCTTGGTCGTGATCACGGTTGGGTCGCAGGTAGGTCTCGATACAAACTTTTATGTAGCTACTGCTCAAGCACGCTCATACTGACGGACAACGATCTCTATAATCGATGGTTGTCCATGTGTATTTGAATCGCGATTTATATTTTCATTTCATATTTATAAGTTATTTTTTGGTTTCGCGAATAGAAAAACTTAAGCCTCAGATTCATGTTTCAGCGAGCATCGCGTCCGAAGAAGAAAGAGGATCAGAAAAGTGCCATAAAAGGAGCCTGCAACAAATGGCTTATCATCCTTTGGATAGAAAATAGATCTAAACAATTGTAAGTTATTCTTATTACTATTTTGTCACTATTCCCGCATTTAGAATTTGTAGAATCTACTATTTCTTTTTCTTTTGTGGCTGATATAAGTCTACCATCTTAAAATTGGGCAAGTCGCGATTTTTTCTTAGTGTTTGGAAATTTAAATTAATTGCGGGTTTTATTAGAGTTATGAATTAATGAAAATTCCGGGTTGTGTATTATATCTGTAAAAGAATGTATATTTCAGATTGCATTAGAGTTTGCTATAGTGTTGCAAATTTTAAAATATCCTGATTATACTTTATAATTTTATTTATAATTTCAATACAAAGGAACTTTAGAACTAAATGAAAAATTTATTAAAATAATTATTTATCTTGACCACCAATAATTGATGTAGCTTCTGTTGAATTTCTTAAATTAAATTAGTTAATTGAATTGAAGTTGATTTCGTTATAAAAATTAGATATATTTTTCGTTGTGTTTGTTTCAATGACTTTCTTAGTGTTGTATTGGTCAAAAGCAACAAATGTCGCTTTTCTTTAAATAATGTTGCGTTAATAAAATGCCCAAATTCATTCCACTAAGATTATGTATTAAGTACGTTTTTAAATCACATGATGCACTTAAAACAGTCGCACAGATGTGATTGTCATCAGTTTTCGCTACATCTGCACTGGAATCCCGTAATTATTGTTGTGAATATTTTAACATGAGTGTATAAAGTAATATTTATTATCGTTACGAAAATAAAATGTCCTGCTGTATTTTC